AATTACTTACATAAGAATCACTGGATGAAATTCTATTTCTATTTAATTCGCATTCATTGGGGTGTTGACATCATCTTGACACCTGAACTCTTATTTTTTTGTGAATTTTTAAATATATTTCATATTCATCATTTAATCTAAAAATTATAAAAACTAATATTCTTTTAGAAAAATTATGAAATATTTTCTTTTCTTATCTTACATTATTATGATTGACTTCGAAATTCTCTATTATTTTTTGAATTTTTTATTAAATTATAATTGATTTATTTATTCTAAAATATTTCTAAAAATTTTAAAATTAGTATTTATTGTTTTAAAAATATTAAATTTACGTGATTTATTATAGAATGACTAACTCAAGTTATCCATCTTAGTGGGTGGTGAGTTTTTGGTGGTGTCACAATTGTTTGTTGGCATAGTATGATAGATTTGTACAATCACTTGTCCTTCAAGTGGGATGGGACACATGTTAGCCACTACATTTGCTAAAGAAGATGGTAAAACATCTAGCCAAATGTCTATTTTCTACCTCTAAGAGATGTAGAGGTGCCACCTCATATGGAGGACACACCATTTATCTTTTTGATCATCTTCTAAAATGAATCATTAATCTTGTGTTTCAATTCAATGTATAAAGTAAACATTTTAATAATTTAAGATATTTTAATCCACCACATACATCTAAATGGTTTAAGTTTGTAGTTTTATACCAACATGGTCTTAAAGTGCTTTGATGTTACCTTGCAAAGATCAGCTTCCTAATTTTTGCCTTGAATAATGTTTAAAATTAATTTACAAGTTGCAAAATGCTTTAGTCAAGTCTAATATTGTTACCTTGCAAAACAAATATGAACATTTCATAAATATTTAAAACTTGATTCGATGAGGCCTTTCATTGCTTATTCATCCATGAGCTGTTTGTACATACCATTGCTTAAAATGGTTGTATTGGGTTAAGATTTGTGATCCACTACACATAGGATTGATAGCACCTTAACTTGTTTGTTTAAAGAGACTATAATACAACATTTATGATTCATAGTCACTAAAATAAACAAAATGATAGTGCTTTGATGAATTATATTTAAGATGGAGCCATCAAAGTTGACAAATGAGTTATATTGTTGGTGGTAATCTAAGAACTAAGCCAATGGGCATTATTTGAAATAGTTTACTATAATATATACTTTTTAGTCTAAATTAAGAAAAATATTTCAAGTATATGGCAATTAGAATACAAGATTTTGGAAAGGTTTGGCTTATACCATATATAAACTATCTGAAGGCAAACATCCTCATTGAATTCTACTCTAGGCCTTACTCAATACAACAATTTAAATGTTTACTCACTCTCCCCTCTAGAGATATTACCGCCAACTTAGTATATATAAAAAAAGGTTAATAGGTGGATACTTGTCATGTGTTAGTAATGCTCAATGTCTTTGATGCCTGAAAAAAAAAAGGTCACCCACCTAAGTATTAATCATGGATTATGCTGAAAGAAAAATAAGGTCACTTCTTGATTTATAATTATATGTAGTTTCTCTTGGGATGATGGATGTAGGCCAAGAGCTGAATTATTCTAAAATTTTGTATGAATTTCCATTGTGCTTATTGCCTACTTCTAGTGTTTGAAATAGATTGCTACATCGTAGTAAATTAGAATACCTAATCTAATTCAACTCAATTACATCACATATTCTAATTTTGTACACACCTAATAAGAACTATGATTAAGTCTAATCACCCTCCCTCTAAACTACATTAGTCATCCTTAACTCCTTCAATTTGTCTTAGAGTTAACCTCTATTTAGAACATATTGCACTCTTAAAAGATTAGATCAAATGATTAATTATAACATTACATTTATTGAGGCAAATTTTAATAATAGACTGCCATTATTTACTAGTAAGTATGCATGGGTGACCACCTAGCACAATGAAGACAACTCATCAAGTTTTGAAGATGAAAAAGATAATACACATTTGCGCATTTATGCATAATTGAATACATGTCTTTAGGAATCACCTCAAACTGAAGATATTTATAATATAATTGAAGCTCAAGATTATGCACAACATTTATAGAATCATAGAAGTTAAAATTTGATCAAGTAAGCTAATTATTAGACCAATAAGATAAAAAAATAGCATTAAGAGAGAAAGGAATCAAATATATTCATTTGGTAATTATTTTCCCCACCTACATCATGTTTACAAAATTCTTCTTCACATTTAGATTTTACTAATCTTTTGTAGGAAAGAGTACACATTTGCTAACTCTAAGTACCTAAAGTAGATTAATAGTTTCATCCACACCATTGTACTGGTCACCCCAAAGTTTCCTTTTAAAATGTTAGTTTAGTAACAAATAGATTAATTGTTTTATGAAGGCTAACATGTTTTGATTGATAGTGGGTAATAGAATTTTATCAAAATACAATTTGCATGCATTGAAATTGAAGTGTAAAAATAAACATATTGTCATTTCATGACAAATGCAACCTCAAAGCCTCTCTGAACAGATTAGAATATTCCATTCTTTTCTTCTTTAATGTGTTGTGCATCAATAAATTTGTCACAATTTTCCAACAATTCGGGGGGGACTTCTTCAACAATAGAAGTCAAAAATTCAATCTATTGAATCTAAAAAGTATGATTTTGATGATTATATTTTTGTCCTAGCATGTGCAAATATTTAACATGTGTTTTAGACAAATAGATGAAGGTTTTTCTATTGAAAAATGTTAAAGAAATCATGTCCCCAAATTAAAGTGAAAATAAGCCGAAAATTGGTCACTTTTTGCACATATATAGAAATCAAAACTTTAGGTTTCAATTTCTAAAGTATGTAAATTGTTGACAACTGTAAGTAAAATACATTAGAGTAAAAGAAAAACAATGAATTCTAGAGAATGGGTGAGGGGTCCAAGTTTAATTATATTTTGTATGTATTGCTACTACATTCATTATTTAAAGTGGAGAGTTATGCAACTAATGGTGACTAAACTAGTGAGCTTACCAACAAATCATTGAGAGAGAGTTCAAAACCATCAAGCTGGAGGGAGAAAGAAAAGACAATTTAGATTTGGTGGAATAATCCTGCATTAAATAATCTAATGCAACACTTTAACTTAGATGGGGTCCCTATGCATCTCCTTGTCAATCAACGAAAGATACAAAATTGTCCACATTACTAGATGTGCATGATCTACATCATCATAGTTTAGTATTTATCATGTTGATTTTTGGAGCAACTCAGGTGGGCAAGTACTTTTCTCAAGATAATAAAACAATCTATGTGATGTGATTGATAAAATTCACATTAGTTATATGTTTTGGAATTTATTTTTATGAAATGGCTAGATAGACAGCGCTACGAGGATGCTGCCAGCGGCGTTACGCAGGTGTTTGTTTATTTACTCTCCGCCGGTTATATAAGACCGTCCGTCGGGTAGGCGGCGCACGTGGAGGACTCCGCCACCGGCACCGGCGGGGATGACGGAGCTCCGGGTACGCCACCGGAATCTCCGGTACGGAGATATGGCGCCGTTTTCTCCGAAAATTTTGTGTTGAACGGAATCAGCTGGACGTTTTTGTATAAAGATGCGACGTTTTTACGTTTCGCAAAATGTGCCCGCAGAAAGTCGTTGACGTGTCTCGTGCAGATAGGTTGGAAGATCTGGAAAGAGAGAGGAAGGGGCTGTATACAGATCCCGCACAATGGCCTTCTACCTGCACGTGTCTCGTTAGTGTTATCCGTCGGATAGTAATCGAACGGTTATCTTTGAATTGAGGAAGATCCGACGGCCAGGTCAGATTTCTTCTTCATGTGCATTAATGGGGAGAGACAAGTCATTTTCAATAGTCTCTCTCTCTCTCTTTCTCTCTCTACAGTCTCCACCCCCGCCACCAGCGCCGTTTCTATCGGGCCACCTCCATCCTTTCAGACGCAGCCAAAACGCCTCTGCAATCCACACTACCTTGGACCCATCCCGTCACTGTTGCCCCCTCTCGCTCTCTCTCTCTCTTTCTCTCCCTCTCGCTCGCTCTGTGAGGCTGTTCTCTCCCCCCATTGAGCAATAGGCGGCGGCGGTAGCTCCAGCGTGGTGACCTGCGTCAAAAATCGCCGCCGGGTCACGGCGACCTGGGCACATTGCTGAGGATGCTAAGGTAAGCGATCCATTTGCCTCCTTTCCCGCCCCCTTTCCTCTCTCTCTTTCTCTCTCGTTCTCTCTCGCTCGCTCGCTTGCTCGCTTTTGGGGCAAGGAGATTTCTGCCTTTCAGGGGATGATTCAACCTGCGTTGTATATAGTGTATCATTCCTCTTTCTTCCCGACCTCGCCTGTACGGAAATGAGCTATCTGCCTCCACGTTCTCCATTCCTGAGACCGCCAGGCCTCATTTACCCTGCGGCATCCCCTCTCTCTCTCTCTATCTCTCTCTCTCTCTCTCTCTCTCGCTACGCGCAGACGAATAAAAAGAGAAAGTTGAAACCCCTTTCTTCTGCAGCGGGCGATCTGGCTCGGTGTTAAGGTGAGGCTCCGCCTCTTCCCCCGGTTCTTCCTCTTTTTTCTTCCTTCTGGGCGTAGTCTCCATGGAGGGAAAGGCGGCAGAATGGAGAAGCAGCACGGGGATGAAGACGAGAAAAGGCGGCCCTTGTCGACGGCGAGATCCGCGACAAGGGATCTGAACTTCCTTGGGTCTCTCTCCTCCGCGGGGGATCTGAAGCCATCGCCGGGAACGTCCTGTAGAACGTTTATTTCTCATAGCCCAGCCTAATTATTTCTTCCTCATCTCGGAACAGGCGCCCGCGTTGACGATCGCTACTCCGAGAACCCGGCGTTTTCTGCTTTAATCGTACCGTCGAGACGTGGGCGGAGGACTCCTCTCTCCCTCGCCATCCCTCTCTCTCTCCTGAAGTTTCCTCGCCCCCGGACAAGCGCCGCCTGGTATAGGAGTTGGCGGCAGCGGCGGAGATACAGAGAGCTTCGACCATGCGGACCCTTGCGTGCTGCCACCGCGCCCGGGAGATTAGCCTCGACTTCGACCAGGCCGACCCTCGTAAGCCCACCTTCCCCCTGCCTACTCTATCCTCTCTCGACTTCCGCACGCTGGCCGGAAGCCCAAGGTAGTAGGAGAACAAGACGGAGGAGGCGGTGCTGATCCTTTCCTTAGCCATGCTGGGATTTTTTCCTTTTCCTATCTTGCGGCCTGAAAATGGAGAATTTATGAAGCAGGTAATCAGTAAAGTTGTCGTAGAAAACGTTCAGATCATAATCATAATCTCTGTAGTTCTCGAGGTCAGGCTCGTATCTGCAGAGAGAGAGAGAGAGAGACGGTGGTGCTGCATTATCGTCTGACTTTCTGTCCACCCACCCGGCATTTATGCTGCTTTTGACCGGCGGCGCGCTTTTGCCTAAATCTGCGGGAAGAAGATGACCTCACCGGCGGGGGCGGGGGGCGGTAATTTATTGGTGCAGGGGTGACGACCTACAGCGGGCTTGAGAGCTGCATCCTCAACCATGGCGGCTACTCGTGCGGGACGGAGTATAGTGCGAGCCAGGCCAGCGACTCACAGGTGGGGGACGAGCTCAGCTGCTCATCCTCCAGCAAAGGGGAGGACAGCTTCGCCTCGTCCTCCCCCGGCTGGCCGGCCGCCGGCGGCGGCGGCGGGAGCGAGGAGGAATGCGGGCTGCTCGCTGGCGACTGGGCCGCCGTGAGGAGCCCCTACCCATTCTACCGCGGTCGGCGGCCCCCTCGCTCGTCGGAGGACAAGGACAAGGTTCCCATTTACAGCACGGGGTTCGCCGACGTCGAGAGCATGAAGGAGAAGTTCGCGAGGCTGCTGCTCGGGGAGGACGGCTCCGGCGGCCGGCGGGGGGTCGCCACTGCGGTGGCCTTGTCCAACGCCATCTCCAACCTCGCCGGTACGGTTGCTGATCGTCCTGGTTTCTTTCTTCTTTTCCGGTCGGTCGATTTTGTTCTTGATTGACCTTCGATTCGACCTCGCAGTGTGCACCTTTGGGGAGCTGTGGAAGTTGGAGCCACTGCCGGAGGAGAAGAAGAGCAAGTGGCGGAGGGAGATGGACTGGCTGCTCTCTCCCACCAACTACATGGTGGAGCTCGTCCCCGGCAAGCAGACCGGCGCCAATGGCCGAACGCTGGAGGTACTCCTGCTCTTTCCATCTCCCGCCGCCACCGCCACCGCCACCGCCACCGCCACCGCTGCCACCCTCTGATCCGTTCTTCCTCTCAGATTATGACGCCCAGAGCTCGCGCCGACGTCCACACGACTCTCCCGGCCCTTCAGAAGCTCGACTCCATCCTCGTCGTAAGTCCTCCGACGATTCTACGCCTTCCGCTCTGCTGCTCCCTTCTTCGTGTAATCCCCCTTCGGAGGAGGAGATATTTGAGAGGAGGATGAATGAACCTGCGAGCAGGAGGTGCTCGACTCGATGGTAGAGACGGAGTTCTGGTACGCCGAGGGCCGCAGCCGCACGGCGGAGAAGGCGGCGCAGGGCGGCGGCGGCGGCGGCGGCGGCCGGCCGGGGAAGAGGTGGTGGCTGCCGTCCCCCCGGGTCCCCGAGGCGGGGCTCTCCCGTTCGCAGAGGAAGAAGCTGGGTTTTCAGGGGAAGTGCGTGTACCAGGTGATGAAGGCCGTGAAGTCCATCAACGAGCAGATTCTCCTTCAGATCCCCCTGCCCGACGCCATTAGAGACGCCCTCCCAAAAGTACGCCGCCATGTCACTAATTCTCTACGTCTTCATCATCATCATCATAATCATCAGAGTTCTCGTCTTTCGACAGTCGGGGAAGGTGGGGATGGGGGAGGACCTGGAGAGGCTGGTCTCGTCGGAGCTGTGCTCGGTGGAGGACATCTTCCGGTCGCTGGACCTGAGTTCGGAGCACGGGGTCCTCGACATTGTCAACCGGCTGGAAGGGGCCGCCTTCGCCTGGCGGGAGAGGCTCTCTGGCGGCGTCGCCAAGAAGGGGCGGCGGGCGTGGGCGGCGATCGCGCGAGACGGCGGCGCCAAGCCGGTGGCGAAGATCGGGGTCTCCCTCGAGAGGGTGGGTGCGCTGCTCTACCTGCTGAGGGACCGATTTCCCAATCTCCCCCAGACTTTCTTCGCCGTCGCGAAGATCAGATCCAACAAGGTGAGCGCGAAGATCAGATCGCTCGTCCGAACCAGTCAGTCGTCTAACAATGGAGCGGAAGCAGAATGACGATTATAATGATAATGATGATGAAGAAGATCTCTGGTTTTGCGCAGGACGTGGGGCACGCGATCGTTGAGGCCTACTCAAGAGTTCTGGGGAATCTGGCCTTCTGCATCCTCACCCGAATCGGAGACGTCCTCCAGGAAGACGACCTGCACCAGCCCATCAGCACCGCCGACGCCGACCTCAAGTTCGAGCTCTCCTCCGAGATGTACCTCAGCGGCGCCGCCGAGACCCCGCCGGGCTACATCAAGCGAGCGCTCATCGACCAGATGGACATGGCAGACGGCCGCCTCCGCGTCGCCGACGTTATCAGGTGCCCCTGGCAGCTCTTCCCAGAGAAGAAGATCGCCGACGTGTTCCCGGCGAGTCTTCCCACCGCCAGGACCTCCCTGCCGTGGTGATGTACAACGGGCGGACTGCCCTCCCCCCCCCCTCCGAAAACCTCTGAAAGATCGAATTTAAAGAACCCCATGGAACTGGCCTCCTGCTGACATATCTGAGATAATTTTCTGCGTCCATCCTGCGATTCCGTAATGGGTTCGGAAGATCAAATGTGGAAGGAAATAAATAATACAAGGTTCGACCCTCAGCCCCTTGGCGAAAGTTAGCTGGACCAATTTCTAGACCAGGACCGTTAACCGCCTTGGTGCCCAGCACAGCGGTGGAGCAGGAACCGTGCCTAGTGGGCACCCAATTCACCTGCAGGTGGGCGAGGTTGGGATTTCGTGAGATACAGGCGTAGGCAAGAGCGTACTGCGAGATTGGAGAGGGGGAGAGATGCAGAACCAGCGTCAGCGATGGTGCTAACTCACCGTGCATGTTCTTTACGAAATGGAGGAGCTCCGAGAGTGAGAGCTCCCTCTGGGCGAAGGTCGACGGCTGCTGGTACACGAAGAAGCCGAAGTGGCGGCGATCGGGGTCGCTCCGCGGCTTCGCCGTCTCTAGCATTCTCCTCAGGCTCTCCAGGTCGTGGCCCCTCGCCGAATTCTGACCCGCCACCGTCAGCCCCCGGTCCCAGGCGGCGTTCAGAACCTGCCAAGGCCGACACCATCCCACCCACAAGGTCAACGGCGGCTCCTCCGGCGGAGGAAAAAACAGAGGATCTCCACCTGCCAGCTCAGCCCCTCGGCGTCGGCGGCTGCGCCGTCGCCCTCCCGAGGCGCCCCGGGGCAGACGAACTTCACCACCGCAGAGTGCTTCTTCAGCGCGTCGAAGAGCGGGGAGTACCCGTCCTGGTTCGTCGGGTTGTGGAAGCCCGCCGTGAGCTCCGCCGCATGGCTCGCCGTCCTGTACCACCAGAACACCGCCGGTATCTGCTCCCCACAACCGAGAAAAAACTGAGAATCAGAGAGAGAGAAAGGGAGGGAGGGAGATCGAAAGGCCGGCTCTTTGTCGATTATGGGGATCGAGCTAAGCTCGTACCTTGACGATTAGTAGGGTCTCCTCGAAGACGAGGGCGGCGAGGGAGAGGACGGCGTCGGCGTGGGCGACCAGGGTCTGCGCGTACCAGTGGAGGAAGAACCTGCCGTAGTAGCTGTCGTAGTCCCCTCGCTCGCAGAAGAAGCCCGTCTCATGCGGCTGCGAGTTGTAGTGCCCGGCATTGTCGGGCCCCCGGGCCCAGAAGGCGTGGCCCCGTCCCTTTGCCGCCCGCCGCAGGCTCTGCTGCAGGTACCTGTCGTAGCACTAGAGAAACCAGGAATCAGGCTTCTTCTTCCTGTTTTCACTTGTGCTCCATTCCATTCATCAAATGCTAAGTCGGGCACCCGACGACGTTATCTAGTTGGTATACTCGGCCCGGCAGAGTGCTCCGCAGATCGACGGGGCAACATGGCCGGTCTTCCATGTATAAATAAATAAATAAATAAAGAAAAGAGTACAAAGTAGAAGCATTTGCATAATAATGTTGAGGGTGATGTCCGGTCCTTGAATGCTCGGAGGAGCAAATAAATTCATGGTTTTGGGGAGGGGGAGGGGGAGGTGGAAGGATTCACTTCAGAGAGATACCTGGAACTCACCAATACCAGGATACCTCCATCCCATCCTCTCTGAAAACGAGGGGAACTTCAGCTCCCCAGAGGCGCCCAGCCCGACCTCGATGCCCGAGATGAGACCCTCCGCGAAGAGGTCATCGAATTCCGTGCGGAAACTCCTCATGAAGTCAAAATACACCTGCGCAGAGAAAAAAAATCCAGTTTCCTGATCCACACACGAGATCCCCAGATCTAGGATCCTAAGACCATATGATCACCATTGTTGACGATTCATCGGAGGAGAATTTCACGGATTGCCCCGGAAAACACCAAAACAAAAAAAGAAGAAGAAAAAAGGACTTTCTCCAGTAAGGAAAAGAGCATTTCTTCATCTCTGGTGTAGAATCAGGTTCCGAAAGAATTAAAAAAACAACAATTAAATAATAGACCTCTCCTGGCGAGAAGAAGTCAGAGAGCAGACGGGCAAGTAAAGAGCAGACCTCGATGCCGGTCCTTCCGCACAGAACTCGCTCCCTGTCGACGCCCCATGAGATGCACTCTGTGTTTCTCCTCCCTCCGCGGTCGGTGAAGAATATGTCCTGGTTGTCCTTGCCGACCTCCAAGACCCATTTGGGCAGGGAGATGGGCACATCCCCGGACCCGCTTGCTCCGCATTCATGGAAAGCCAACACGACCTTCACATGTTGAACATGAAGCAAGCAAATAAATACACAATGGCAAAAGGGAACGATCTCCTTTTCCGTTCATGGGGTCTGATCCGAGGAAGTATAGCAGTTCCCAACACAAATCGAGCAGAAACTTATTATAAATAAATTATTTTACTAAAACCGTGCCACATGAAAATAAAACATAAGAAAAGCCGCGCATAGCCGGTGAAACTCGATGATCGCCACGAGAAGCTAATGGGTTTGGAGAGGGCACCTGGGATTTCATCTTAAACTCTCGAATGATATTGAACAGGTCCCTGTAGCCGGCCCAGGTGTACTTCTGCTGACTCCAGCCTTCGACAATCCCCCACCAGCAGTCCACGACCACTCCATCCACATTCAGAGACTTGAGGTGCCTCAGCTGCTGCCTCACCGCCTCTGGGTCCACCAGCTGGCAGTAGCTGTTCACAACACCGGTCTGCCACAAACCAACATGCATTCAACTTGGACAGCCCAAGCCCAGGTGAGATGTAATCGCATGATCTATTTTTTGCTAGATTACACCAATCAGATGCCAGACGAAATATGATTACTGCAAATAGAAGACTCTGGGGAATTGGTTAGTCACATACGGGGAGTGTCGAGTAGACTGGAATGTATGGCGTGCCTGAGAAATCGTCATCGTTCCCCCCCGGATGAACGTCCTGCATCAGCTGAAGCGGGAACCAGACAAGAGCCACATGAGAGAGAAGAGTAACGGAAGCAGAAACAAGCATCCATGGGGGTGTAACATCTTGGAAGGTCGACAGTATCGAGTGCAAGGATGGGCTCCCACCTGATCAGCCTCAACGCAGTCCAAGGAGTTGACGGCACCAGGGTTTCTATACCTGTCGCTCTTTGGATCCCTTTCGGCAACCACCACTGAATCCAGGGATGTGGGCGACAGACACTCGTCGATCATCAGAACAGGTGCCTGGCAGTCTAGAGATGACTTCACTGATGAATTCTTCAGGGAACCAGCAGACACTGGGCTTCCGATAGATCTGGTGGGGAATGGCGCCTGCACCATCAGAGAAAGAAAAAAGAAGAGAAAAGAAAGGAAGTCAGCAATCACACTGCCGCAAAGAGAGGGTTACCAAAGAACACGTTACGGATGCTGACCCAATCAATCCTTGAAACTATCACTATTTACTCACTGCACAAAAAAATTCATATTACAAAATCTTCTGCCTTGCCCGTCGTCAACCAACAATAAATCCAGAGAACGGATCGAACTGAGAGATGAACCAAAACGTGTGATTCACTGAAACGGATTTCAATCTCATAATCGTGCATTACAATACCAGCATCATTACCAGGATGAAGCATCCTATCCCTCAGAAGGCTTATGCCACTATGGAATACATGTACACCACCTGTCCCATCAAAGCAACCATGTATTTAGCAAGCTTTATAGACCACCGTTCTGGCAATCCCACGCCCATAGGAAATAACATAATGAACATACCTCCACGCAATAAAGGCATAGTTCACACATGGACTTTAACGAGGCATGATATCAGACAAGATCATCACCAGACAAGTTATGCAGGGAAGGATGACGGTTAGATGATGTAACCATGGGATCCCATGAGCCAGATGAGGGGCCACAAAGGCCTAGTGGAATGGGTACGACTGGGACTCACAATCCAAGTGGTCTCATCTGCAGCTATGGTGATCCTTGGAGACTGATTACAGAACAGGAGGAGTCGAGGGGATGTGTGGAGAAAAAATCCCTTTCTTCCATCGATTTCTGACTCTGAAATACAAATTGTGGGATGGAACTAATATGGTCATATGCTCATTCATCAACTCAATAATGCACGCTTTGATGAGGGAGATAGAGAGGGAAGGAGAGTTCTAGGAAACGAAGCAAATGAATCTCAGATAGATCAGAGAAAATGGAGTTCAGATAAGGCCAGGCAAAACAAGGTGCCTCCATCTAGGGCCAATATGAGAAGGCTCCATCCAGGAATCATGGGACAGCTGAACCAACTATGGGCGACAATCATGGACTGATTTCAAATGCAGCCTATTTATTTGTAGTCGTCCATTTTTTTCCATAAGAAGGTTAAATCAGGAACACATAGGATCAGGGATGCTTTGTAATTGAGCTCACTTAGAAATATGATAAGAAGAGTTTACAGGCTTATTCACGAGCACAACCTATTTTTTCCTCCGAGAGAAAAAAAAATCACCTCAATTGTTACCCCGCCATCCTCTTGTCTGACCTCAAAATCGAGAAATCAGTAGCCGGATGGCAGCTATTTTGATCCCGGATAATGAAAGTAGAGAGAAAATGCTGAAATCTTAACCCCCAATTATCAGGTAATTATCCTCTAAAGACAGATGGTGGCTTGCGGTATGTCCAGCGCAAGGGTGCCGGTGGGAGCATGATGGACATAAAAGAAGGCGAAAACAAAGCCGATTAAAAGGGCACTCTGTGGAGGAATCGGCATCGTGAACGGAAGGAGAATGCGACCGACACAGATAAGTTAAACTTCATCCGGGTAAAAGAAAATCAGAATTCAAAGAGCCTCCATCCATATTTCTCTACCATTCGGTTTTTTGGACGGGAACTCAGTCCAATAAAAGAACAATCCAAGGGAATCGCGAGTCAAATGAAGATCAAGTGAAGCAAGATCATCATCTGGGCGGGGGAAAGGCGAAGAACGCTTCCTGTAGTAACTATCTTTCTCCACTTTATATCATTAACTCTTCTCAAAGAGCAAGCACAAACCCTACCGCTCCAAAGGATGCTAACATTTGATCCTAATGTCTCTCTATACAGGCATCATCGTGGAAAAGAAAGAAGCACCATGGTGGAATAACGGAGACTAAAGCATATGGCGTCAGCGGCTCGCCAAGGGCTTCCATAGATGATTGGATGTCTGGCTGGAGAGAATAGAAAGTGAGAACGTTCCCCATTTGCAGGGACAAAACAAATACGAAGAAAAGAGACGGGTACCAGTTGGGTGGAGGGGAGCGGCGCCAGCGGAGTCGTCACCGAGGACGGCACGGGGCCAGCGATGGCAGAGCGGTACGTTGTCCCGTCGGCCTCCACAGTCCATCCGGCCTCGCGGGCGAGGGCGGCTAATACGTCGTTCATGTCAGCCCGCGCGGGGAGTGGGAAGTTCCCATACTGCCGGAAGCCCGCAAGCATCCGGCTGGTGATGGCGCGGCGGTGGCGCTCCCGTAGCTTCGTCCGCTCCTTCTCCTTGTCCCGCTCCTTCCGCCCCTTTCCAGCAGACCCTGGGCTGTCGCCTCCCGCCCCGGCCGCCGCCGTGGCGGCGAACCCACGGGGCCGCCTCTGGGACTGAGCCGGCTGCTGCTGCTGCTGCTGCCCGTCGCCCGACGGCTCCAGATCTTGCTTAACGTTCATCTCCCCGGAGAAGGATAGATCACCTGCTCCCTCTCATTTGACTACCCTTCTGTCCCCAAGCCGGCTTCTTTCGTTACCCTCTTCCTATAATGAGAGAGATAGCGAGAGAGACAGAGAGAGAGAGACAGAGAGAAGGCGCCGGGTTCCTCCGAGCGCGACTTTTCTCTGGTTTTGATCGAGAAAAGGAGGGCAGGAGTCGATTAAAGAGGAGCGGGCGATCGGGGGTTGTTCAGTCAGAGAGAGAGAGAGAGGTCCAAACAAGGAAAAGAAAGGGGGAAAACGTACCCAAAATAGCCCTCCCATTACCCTTCCCCTCCAGCAGAAGCCGGACACAGAGCCAGGAAACATCGAGGAACGGAGGCTGGGACTGAGCCCAGAATGCCCCCATTTTCTTCCAAAACGCCGCTCCTCAGGAGTCACGAAGCAGACGCCACATCTAACAGCGTCAACGGGGGCAGAGCCCATGCACAATTAAGCGCCGACTACTTCCTATCAAGCTGAAGATTACCCTCCTCTCTCTCTCCCTCCCCCTCCCTCTACCTTTCTCGATGTAATCTTGAAGCCGTAATCTGCCCCCATAAATCGTTCGTCCATTGTTCATGATCAGCTTATTGCACGTAAGGTGATCGTCATAGGGTTCATCAGAATCACGGCCTACAGGGCCACCTCCTCCAAGCTCTCGCTGGGAATGTATATGTTGTTGTGGCATGAGGCGTCGCGAGGGTACGGCCCGTCGATCCTCTCGACGGAGCTTCGGTCGTAGAACCAGATGCTAACGCCCTCGGCGATCGTCTGCAGAATGTTGGGTTTTGTAATCATAAATCAAAGAAATGTAATAAAAGTTTTAGTATTCAGCCATTTGAAATACCCATAAGAAGGGGAGAAACAGCGTTGGTTCTTGGTTAGAGAGGGGGTACTGACTCTGTTTCCCATGGTCGGAGAACCGGGGAATTGCCAGGTCGCCGTCAGCTCTGATTGGCAGTGGGCGAAGCACGAGTTTACCAGCAGTCCTCTTGATGGGTTCCTCCCCAGCCTTCCCAGTGCTCGCAAGAATTGTACCCTAAACCCTGTAGGATGAAGACTGAAAGAAATTGCAGACTTCGCCTTTCTCACTCCATGAAAATCAAACGAAGGCATGCCAAGCAAGCATAAGCTCGAGGGTCTTCTACAGGACGCACATTGACACAAAGCCCCCATACAGAGGCTCAAGGTATGAGCTCTTACGAGAGAGATAGATAGATAGATAGCGAGAGAGAGGGAGAGAGAGAGATCAGTAACCATTGGGTCAGTATTAAAACTAGTAGAATTATGGCGAGGGCTAAGGTTCGGCACTTCTGATCAGGACTGGAACCTGATGAGACCCTGATTTAGCCTCAAACCTTAACCCTGAAGTCTATAAACATATGAAGAAGATGTAACCTTGCATGGCTTGGATCTGGCCGGGGGTGCATTGACTTATATCGGCCCTGCATTGCCTCCACGCACCAGCCGGGTCCGCGCCCGGCGGAACCATGACATTTCTTATCTGTAAACACAATTCCCTCTCAAGTAAGCACCTGGAAGTACGAACACCAGGATTAATCGTCATTTGAGCAAGACGGGGGGGAGAGAGGAGATAAATGATCGGGAAGCCCACGGTAAGAGAACCTGCCCCATGTCCGTTTCTCTCTCTAGACTACAATTTTGATACCCAAGCGCGTAAAGGGCTCCACTTAGCCACTCTATGGGCCTTCGGACTCGTCAACATGCCCACGTACGCTGTCGCTGCTGGAACGTTGGGAAACCATGCATCCTGGGTCTTACTTGGGCGGTTTTTTGGGAGATATTTTCCATTAAATGAAACTTAGGGATTGAACTTCGTGTTAGGGCGGATGATTACCTGCCACGAGTCATAGGCTGCATTCAGAATGAAGAGCGGCGTGTTGATTCCCTGCGCCACATATTGCGGGAAGAAGCACTGCATTTTCCTCAGATGAGGCACCCCTTAGTCATCAGTGGGGCTGAGCCGACCTCAAGATCAACCCAACCAGTGATGATAGGAGCGACTAACCATGCGCGACCTCCTCTTCGAAGTGCATGCTGTAGGTAGAGCTCCCAGAGAACCCTAGCGACGTCGAGGGAAACCCTCTCAGAATAATCCCCATAATTGTAAAACTAACAAGTCTTCCCCACTCATCGTCGATCGATTCTGACTTTGGCCCCAGAGGAAGGAACTTACGTGGGTCTTCGTGATGCTGTCGAAGTAAGATCCGATGTGCTGAGCTCCGGTTACGTCGTTCCTGCCGCCATTGATGAAGAGTCAACGGAAGGGAGAGATCGATGAGCTGAGTGTAGATGGGGTGCGGGAGTGGCTTACGCGTTGATGAAGAAGCCGCCATCGGAGAGGCACTTGACTCGGGCGCGGCTCGGTAGGAGGGATCGGAATCGGTCGCAGTGTAGTATCGCCGTGAGCCCCCCGGCTGAACACCCCGAGAGGAGGACCTGAGGGGATTCACTGTAACGTTAGGGTTTGCCTCTGGAGGAGACCATTTTCCGGGCTCTTCTCCAGGCATGATCTGGGTGCGATGCCCGTGAATGAATCATGCTAGGGCTATGGCTGACGCCCGGAAGACCCCGGTAGGGAGCAGCTCGGGTTCATCGCCTGTTTCGGGGATCTTTTCTCAGACCCTAATGCCTGGCTTTCAGATGATGAGTCGAAAATGGAGGTTGGCCGGTGCAGAAGCATACATTCTTAGCTCTCTTCATCCCCCTCGCCAGCAGGTGTTTCGTGACCGCCTCGAAGATCCTCGCGCCTCGGAAGTGAAGGTCGGTGACCTGCTCAGACGCGAGGTATGTACATATTTATATATAAAAATATATAGAGAGAGAGAGAGCACCAGTTGGAGGGGGATGGCCATGGGGACAGGTTGCTCACCGGGTCGACACTCTCGACGTCTCCGGTGAACGATGAGCCATCGCAGTACCTCACTTTCACCTTGTTCCAGTTGTAGAACCCTGCGCTTCACGTCCCAGGCGATGCAGAGAGAGAGAGAGAGAGAGAGAGAGAGAGAGAGAGAGAGAGAAAGAGAACACGGGAGGTGTGGGGTTGCTTTACCTGGATTGAATCGCTTGTGATCGTTCAGGATCCCTGTGAACGCTATGCTTCCCATGGCTTTGGACGAGCCGAGCTTCCCTCTCTTTCGAAAGAGGCAATTCTCCACACTGTGGCACCATCCTCCTCCCTGAGCAACACCAACGTGAAACTTCCCACGCTAGGAAACTCATACGGATCCATTTATTTTCAGAGATTATAAAGAAGAGACCTCCATATGCACGAGCCAGCTGTTCTTCCCCGGGCCCCATCCGGGAGCGAAATGGTAAGCAGGGGGACTCCCATCCAAGCAGACTGTAAGAAGAAACCAAGGTTTTCTTCGATTATGTTATCCAGAGGAGGGCTGTCCACTACGATAAGGAGAGTAATCTCAATGACAAGCCACTTTTCCGTGCCTGCTCCACTTGCGGTGGCGCTCTCCAGGACGGTGAGATTAACGATGAGTCCGCCGGCCGTTGACGACATCAGCGCGAGGACGCAACAGATGAGCACCCCGGTTACGGAGCCCCCGGAACCCGACATCCTCCGTGATGGTCTCCTCCTCTAGAGCTACCCTCTCTCTCTCACTATGGAATTTCTGCGATTAGGTTCCGGCGGAGAGAGGAAGGAGAAAGAGGAGGAGGAGTTTCTCTCTCGCTTCCCTGCTCCTGAAGCAGGGGTGAGGGAAGCTTCTGCGGTTCAGGAAGGCATCTTTACATGAAAGGCCCTCGGAAGGTGGAAGAACAACGAACGGTCATAAATAGGGGGCTCCGGACGTCGCAGATGCCATGAGAGACATAAAACGGGGATGCCCTCCAAATTTGGGAAAGGCCAGGGGAAGGAAGAGGACCGGCCGGGAAGCGCCCGACCTGGCAAGTTTTGACGGTGTGAATGTCGCCGTCGCACCGCCGTGGATCCCATCGCCAAGTAAATGTCACCTCTCCCGTGCTCCCACCGCTCAGCTTCTGCAACTCCCATTCCCCAACGGAAGAATCCACCGTCCCCCGCCCTCTCTCTCTCTCTCTCTCTCTCTCTCTCTCTCTCTCTCTCTCTCTCTCTCTCTCTCTCTCTCCCTCCCTCCCTCCCTCCCTCCCTCCCTCCCTCCCTAGCTCCCTCCCTTCATGTCGAATACCGTGACTGTCGGAGGAAAAAACTAGAAGGCTACTGTCACCGAGGAAGCTTTCTCTCTCTTTCTCTCGGCATTTAGAGAGCTACAAAAGAAGGGAAATCATAAAAGGGTCGAGGAGAGTCAATGCAGGGAGATTGTGGTCCGTGTCATTGTTCTTCCGACGGGTGGAGCAGGCACAGATTGAACTCAAGGAGATCGACACTGGCAGGAGAAGGGCGGCGGCTTGGATATGTAGAAGCTCTGGAAGGGCACGCCGGTGCAGTTCCGGGTGCTCCCGCTGAAGAAGGGGGCACTCGGCGCTGCGGCGGTGGATGAAGAGGAACGCGCTCTCATCCTCCTCGTAGACAAACTCATACCCGCCTCGCAAGGCCACGCCATGGCAGCCGTAGTAGAAGGTCCTACTCTCCCCATTGCGGCCGGGGTCCTCGTACAGCCTCATCCAGCTGGCCTCCGCCGGTGTCGGGCCGGCGGCGAGGGCGAGAAGCAGCAGCTCCGCGAGGGCTGCGGCGGCGACGGCGACGCCACCAGTCGCTGCCATGAGGGAGAACACCAAGACCTAGGAAGATCTTCCATGGTGCAGCTGCCAGGCTCATATAATCAACGTCTCCCGCTAAATCCGTCCTCGGACAGTCGTCAATTCCGTGGGATATCTTAATCACTGAATTTATCACGTGCATAAATCCGCGTAAATCGCAGCTTTGCATTAAAAGAAATATTACACGATTTTTATATTGGACACATATTCAAGTGAAATTAATATTATTAATAATAAGATTATATTGGTAAAAAGGTTTTTTATTTTTTTCGAACTCTGATAACAGTCGCCTAATGGGTTGACAATAACTATGGATAACTTCACTTGAACATCTATGGATAGATTTGGATCCGGACCCGTTTGTGGGCCGACAAATACGCCTTCTCGGATCACCCCAGGGTTTGTTTTCTGCTGAGATGCTGCGACCGCCGTTGCCGTTCACCGCCGGCCGCCGGCCGCCGGCGAGGTTCTCGCCTCGTCGCCCGTGAGTAGCATCGCAAAGAAGCAAGGTTCCTGTATTTCTCGTGTATAATCTTGATGATTGAGTGTATTCGATCTCATCGGTTCCTCGAAGACAGGTTCTGCATGGGGAGCAAGGTAAGTGAAGCGGCGTCGCCGGCCGTCCCCAGATTCGTCCGCATCGGGGGAAAAGAAGGTCTCTCGGAGGACGCCTTCGGAAGAGGTGCGCTTCCGCCGGCGTTTGACTCGAAAATTTGCATAATTGGCTTTCCAGTGATAAATTTGTTTTCAGCGTGGAACAAGTGAAGAAAAACTTGTCGCTGGGGCTGTTTTCTGCAGGTTTCAAATTCCGGCTTGTGTCGTACAACATCTTGGCCCAGGTAGTACTGTATCACAGTAATGTCTTTGCTCTGCACTTTGAACCGATGAAAATTCATGGTGGATTCCATAAGCGATCAAAATTTTGTCCGAGTTCAATTGCAATGGTTACTTGGATGCCTTTCTGAACACGTCTAATTAACTAAGGTGAGAAACGCCTTGGCTGATCCAGTTCCTGAACAATTTTAGATTGGGAAGACTTAATTGGTTTGCGAGGCAAATTATTGAATCCGAAATAATCGTTAAAAAGAGTGGGAAAAAAGCTAAAATAAGAGAAAAAAGTGGAGGAAACTGGGAAGGAATCGCACATCTCCTTATTGGTTAAAACAGAAAAGGAAATAGTAGCATTCTACAAGTATCATCAGATGTGGGTTCCAAGCAAGCAGCGGGGTGGGTCCTTTCTGTTGGTATCTGTTGTCATCTTTACTATAATGGCCCATCTTATCCCTGATTGATACAGAAGTGTATATTTATCTTGCCTTAAAACATTTGAAGAACATCAGGATGAGGTTGTAAACTTCAAAATTTTGCAAAAAAAAAAGTGCCTAGAGAGGAATTGTGGGTCAAGTTTGCCAAACTTATATCCTTCACTCCCCTGCTGCAGAGACCAATCCAGAAAAATATGGCCTGGACCTAGATGTGAAATCTCTGACTCTCATGTTCCATGGAATTTGATCACGCACTTGGATTGGTCGGGCTTGATTATTCTCCAGATTTTGGTCAGGAGTTTGGAAGTTTTGATGTCAGAATGATTCTTTTTTCATTATGAAATTCCTTAAATTTCTAATTATTTTTTCCGAATGATTTTTAATTTGTGATAGATCGCATGATTCATCTTGGTTTTCTATGATTCTAATATATAGTGGAGGCTTTAGGATCAACCAGGTTGCATAGTTTTGGCTGTTTTAAGAGGGAGAATATGAATTCAGAAAATTAGTATATGAGTGAATGGAATTGTTTTCGTCTGGCTTTTGTCAGATTTCCAAGATACTGAGATGGAAATTTGGTCCAAATGAGATTTACTATTCTAATCGTTTCTGGCATCCAAGCATCCATTACTAGTTTTCTAATGGATTGATGGCCGGGATAAAAAGGGTTTTTGTGTCAAGCTTGGGTTTGCATTCCAAACACCAAGTTTCTTACTCCAATGTCTTCCCTGTCCAGTTGAGTATTGGTGGTGGTCTTCCAATAATTCAAGAAAATATAGAGAATGTTTGCCATCAGTCCATAGGATAGAAATTCTATATTAAAATTAGAGAAGGAAGTTTGATTTAGTCAGGGTTAATTTTTCTTTCTATTTATTTAATTTTTATTTGCTAATAAAATGGCTTCATAGTGAGCTTCAGATTTTTATCCCTTCAGCAATAGTTGTCTAAATGCTAGCTCCTGGTCTTTCTCTGGTTTCCAAGGGATCCTTAATATATTATTTATAACCTCATCTTGCAGGCGTATGTCAAAAGTTCTTATTTTCCACACTCTCCATCTCCTTGTCTGAGGTAAATCAAAGTCTCTCTCCTCTCCAAAAATGTATATATTTCTAATTTCATTCTAGGAGCACATCATTACTTCTGGTGGATTCGGTGGGGTGTTGTCTGCCTTCAGATCTACATGAGAGCATTGTTTTTATAACGTATTCATGCAGAAAACATTTTTTTTTCTATCTATCTCAACGTTCAATACATCAATTTGGTGATATCCCCCCCTACTCATTTTTTGAGCACATCCGTGCCTTTGGTTAAGTCTTGTTCTCGTAATTTAGGCCTGATGTGCCACTTCTGCTTGCTCCAGCAGAAACGTGCTTGGTACTTTTGCACAGAGCAGGCAGGCATGAAGGGTGAACCACTTTGTAATGCCTTTACCTTGCTCTGTGGGGTTATCAAGGGTGAACAGCTTTCAATAAAGAACTTTACTGCATTTCATGTGTGCCAAGGAGTTTCTTTTGGATCATGATCCTTCATGAATGTTAGCGAAAATGCTCCTGCCTTGAGATCCTGAAATTATCTGATGCTGATCCTCAACTTCATTATGCCAATTGAAGACTACGAATGCGCTTTGCAATATAAAAATTTAAATCACGAGAAATTGGTTCTACATATTGAACTTTTTAGATGGGCTTTGTTCTATCGTTTTCTCGTTGCATTTATGTATAATACACTGTATTGCAGGTGGAAAGCACGCTCACAGGCAATTTTGACTCTCCTCAGAAGCTTTGAGGCCGACCTACTCTGCCTACAGGTGAGAATTGCCTTAGACAATGAAGAGTGGTAACATGACCAGGGTCAGGCGAGCTTGACCAGTCTAACACAGGAGGGAGACCTTAGCCTGTCCAAGCCAGAAGATATAATATTTTTTCGTTTAAATGCTTTCTCCCAAGATTCCATCGGATTTTATCTTAGACTCTGAGTAATGCTGGGAATGGGATTAGCAGCCTCATTTGGTTACTATTTTATGAACTCCAAGCCAATTGTGCTTTGCACGAGTTTCTCTACAGTATCACGTAATTGCTGATGATTTTGCCATAATGTTTGCTTCTGTTGCATCATCATTCTATCTCACATGCTGATTGAAGTGGGTAACGTGCCCTTTTTAGTGCTGTTAGGTGATTACTGTAGATTTCCCTAGTTCCAGCTTGAAAACTCATGCTTTTCTTCCACTTCCCTTGTTCTGCGAGATGCCATCGTTCAGGAACTGGATGAATTCGACAGCTTCTATAGGAAAAATATGCAGAGCCTTGGCTATTCAAGCATTTATATTCAGAGAAGCGGGCTGAAACGCGATGGATGTGGAATCTTTTACAAGCCCACAAGGTACACAATCGTCTTCAATTCTCATCCGCTGAAACTGTTGAGATGCCTCCCATATGGCAAAATCAGGTCAGCCTCTTGGGCTCTCTTGCCTCATCTAGATTAAAGTCCGATCCTGTGTGGGTTTTGTCCGATTTGGACGACAGTATCAAACCAGTTCTGGCCAAAAGTTTGGAGTGATGATCTTTAAGGAAGGAAGGGCATTAAGGTCACTGATGTATGCGGCAGGTTGCAGACGATCTTATCTGGTTCCTTCACATATTAGACCAGCTCTCCCAATCTGCAGTCAAATCGCTCTGTTCTTCTGTGTCCTACCCTTTGAAATTTTTACTTCTTTCATCACGTATTCTAGATCTTCAGAGTTGACCCTTACCCACTTGAGCTTCTCCCATTCTTCTGTCACTTCTGATTGCCTTTTTGTTTAACCCTTTCCCTGTAACCAGTGCAGAACTGGTCTTGAAGGAGGTGATCGAATACAATGACCTGGTTGATTTTGTTGACCCCAAGAACTCCGATGAGGAGGACAGAAGAGAAGATGGAGAAAGTTCCATGGTTTCGGACGACAAACCAGGTGAAGGTTCCTCTCATTCCATGCTTCCATCTCCCTCCCGAATTTATTCTGTTCATTGAGATTCCTTTCACTATCCCCCGTTCGCTCTCTCGCTGTCTCAGTCCTGGCAGAGGAGCGTAGTGGCGATGGCAACGGTCGAGATCCCAGTGACCCGCGTGTGAGGCTGAAGCGAGACTGTGTGGGAATAATGGCGGCATTCAGACTCAACGATCCCTCCCGCCATCTGGTTGTCGTGGCGAATACACACATTTACTGGTGAGTTTTGAGCTCAGATTCATCTCCATCCTCTGTCCTGCTATCTATAGCCGACGCCTCTCGTTATCCTGCTTCAGGGACCCCGACTGGGCTGATGTGAAGCTGGCGCAGGCCGAGTATCTCCTGTCGCGTCTCTCTCGATTCAAAAACTCTGTCTGCACAGAATTTTGCTCCGCGCCTTCGATCATCGTCGCCGGGGACTTCAACTCCACCCCCGGGGATGCGGTCCATTCTCCTTCGCCCAACCTTCTTCCGGATTTTGGTCCTGGCTTCAGAAGAACTTGCGAATTATATGGCTTCTGCTTCGCAGGTCTACCGGTTCATGGTGTCTGAAGACGTTGTCACCGCCGCCGCGGCCACCACCAAGCCGCCCGTTCCTCTGCGTAGCCTCTATGCGTCTGCTGGCGGAGAGCCGCCTTTCACCAATTGCACCCCGGGTTTCACTGGGACGCTTGACTACATCTTCTTCTCGGGCTCCGGCAGGCTGAGGCCGATCGGGCTCCTCCAGGTCCCCGGGCCGGAGTCGCCGGACGTCACCGGCGGACTACCCAACCACCGCCACCCCAGCGACCACCTGCCCATCGGAGGGAACTTCATGCTAGTCGATCTTTGATCTCTGGTTACCCATCGAGTACATGAACCTGAAGAACGATTTATCCGTGGTTTAATCTTTGATCCCTGGTCGCCATGACTGCGACCTCGCAAACATGATGAGATCGGATTGTGGTCGGATGGATTCCAAAGTCAACGCTGGCGATGCAGCTCAGTGCCCATCCTGTGCCGATGTGAGGCCTTGCAAGCAAGCCTGGCCAAATGAAGCGGCCGCCATCATCACGCAAGGATTCACAAATGAATGCGTCCATATGGTCGAAGATTTTGCAACGAGCTGGTTCTCACTCCCTTGAGCAGCGTCCAACGAGGGAGGAGAGGAAGGTAGAAGAGGAGGCGGGCAGCCTGGCTTGACGCAGAGAACCTGTCGAATGCCGGCAGGCCGTCGCCGTCGTGGCACTCCGGCCGCTGTCGTACTGGGCGTGCCCAGGATCATTGTCCCGGCGAGCCGGGCTCGGGTCATCCCCCTCCCGGCAAATCTCTTCGTCCTCACCAGAAACCCCCGAGTCGTCTCAATAGCCTCTTTACGGTGTACTTGGGCACAGACAGAGGTCTTACTGCGCTTAAAATCTACCTCGATGTATATTCTGGTCAATAGGTTGACTCACATATCAATACATGACCTTCATTAAGAAAACATTGCTGTGGCACATCTACATTGCTTCATATTGCACCCCATATACGGTGTATGTGGCTTGCAAAAGGAAGTCAGAACTGATGCAATAAATATATCAGGCTACTTGTGAGGTTGAACAATTTTGAGATAAAAATTATATACACTTAATTGTGGTAAATATCAATAGGACCTAATTAAGTTGACCTCATGAAAACTTACGATAACACCAAGGTGAGAAAAAGAAAGAAGAGCATCATGTACCACAAGTATGGAGGCTTAATACCAGATTTTTATTGTTGATTCTTGAAACTTTGTACTGATGATATTGCACAAAATAATATGTAGAACAATTAGAGAATTTATCCAATAGTCATGGTGTTCTTTAAAATGGCTAGGAGACTTGTTTGGTTGACTCACAACAATGAACTTAGAATGAAAGCAAGTTTATGCCTTCACATTCTAGTTCTGTGTGTTTCTAAGTAAATTATGCCAAGTGGACTTAACCACTATAAAAATGCAGGTTCTCATTTAACTATCCTAAGCATACCCAACTAGTGATAAGAAACCTATTTTAATAAATGTCAAAGTGACCAATCCAAAGCATAGATCTGGGGGCAATGAGTTTGGGATACCATAATTTTGATTTTGAATCACTATAATGGAGATCTAACATGGTTGGTGCTTTTCCTTATTTTTTATTTAATTTTTTTCTCCTATTTTCCTTGCCAACCAGAAACATATTAGATGCATGCTAACCACAAACATATTAAATCCTTCCCAAGTTTTTTTATACCTTTCTAGTGGTTAATGAATCTTAATTTTGATATTAGTAATTAATTAAAAGTTAATAATATAATGTGATAGGATGCTTCACCTTATCTTTTGTTAACTTCAAAACTCAGCATACATACCATTGATGGGTATCAACCACTTTGTATGTGTTTCTATCCTTATTTACCTACCTCTTCAACAGCTTCATGCATGGCCATACACTTCCATGCACAACACTGTACCATGTGGCTAAAAAATCTACCATGTGGGATCTCTACTTTTTATCTTGGTTGTTCTGGTGCAAAATTAATTTTATTTTTAAAAAATATATATTACATGTTTGTATGACTTTAGGATGAGTGTGCTGATATTTTGTATGATTTTGAGGTGTCATACTTTTTTCTGCGCCATCTTGCATCAATAATTTTTGGAACTCATAATTGCTTCCAGGAGAATGAGCCATGGCTCGAGTCCCTAAACAAACAGAATTTGGGCCTCCATGGACCAGGCCAATCAACGTTACTAGCCAGTCCTTTTTGACATTGTTAATACAATATCTACATTCATGCAATGTATTTCGTGAAAAATATAACAAATCACTAGAAAAGCTTAAAATCATGAGAAATTTATGAAAATATGATATGATAGATTTATTTGTACCATAGAACACACTCTGTATATGTAATATATGGTGCCCAAATATGTTATCACGCAAAATTATTCTAAACACACACATTGTATTCATGACATTTAAAAATCCTTTAGGCATATGCATTCATCCAAATCCTTAAAGATTTAACAATCCATACTATCCATGAATGAAAAAAAAACTGAAGTGATTTTTAAAGAGATCAATCATTTTTTAAAAAAATTATGGATAAAAACTCATAATATTAAATAACTATGTAAGGACATACAATTGTATGTTCATAATCTAAGTGGAGCCTTAAATCCAACAAATGCAAGCCTTACATTTATGTTAAGGTCAAACCTCATCATTTAAGTAGATCAACATTTTCAATGGTACTATCATATGCACAAAGCTTAACTCCATACACCAACTCTTGATTGATGTGTGGGCCTCTTGAAGGGCTTATTAATATGCACTAATAGAGAGTGTTGTGTGGTAAAATGAGTAGTCTAAATTTAATCAATTAATTCAATATCAGAATCATTAAAGACTGACTATTTAATGTCATGGATACATAATAGACAACTTTTATATTCATATTTTTCTTCATGAATTCTCATTATTTTAAGTATTATAATCTTCTTTTTTTCTCAGTATGAAAATTTCTATAAATATCTATACTTTCAAAAAAAATACACAAGATAATAATTCTAAACAAAAAAATCAACTAAATAACTATATTAAACATCATTTGAATTTTCCGATTTAATAATATTAATTTAAATTATATCTCAATACTTTCATATTTAGCTTCATATAAAACATATTTAAGATTATGCATAATTGGGCATTTTAATTGATCTTACAATATTTTACATCATCACAAAATCATATATTTAGTGTTCCAAAAGTACTATTATTAGATCTTAAGAAGATTTATTATTGAGAATTGGATGTAGGAAACATGCCATGAATGTAGAATTTTTTGTTGTCTATAATCTAGTTAAGTTTTAAATTATCTTATCACATTTATTCATTTGTTTCTATGTGATTATATTGTGATATAAAATAGGATATAAGTTAATGAATCTTACATTGAATATAGCCTTGGCCCAATAAATAGATGTTTCAAGATCACAAGAAATGGGGTTGGAAAAATGATCACCATAGTTCAAACTTTATGATAAAAGTACTTATCCAGTAGTAGAATGCTAAAACGACATTTTATGATATTTCTTTATCCTTGATCTATTTTGATGGTTAAAGATTAAGAAAGTAAGAAAACTTTGAAATGTCAATCAATGATTGAACCAACAACAAATAGGTATGCATATTAGAGTTGATGAAGACATCGTACATTGCATTTTTGGATTTCTAGGTCAAACTCTATTAAGGTTTGAATCGAGTGAGTCTAAATTACTAAAATTATAGACGGGTATATTAATTTCAGGGTCATGAATTATTATTTTGTGTTGGAATGAAATCAAATTTGTAATACTAGAGATGTGATATTATGATACCTTGCCAATGTAGAACTGGGAAAAGAAGCCTTCTAGGCTGCACGCTTGATTTTGGCTATTATATGAGATTAAATGGGTTACTTAACAATGTTGGTTGATTGCTATTATGAATTTGCCTTGGCAAAGTAGGGTATGGTATTTGGGGAAGCCCACTTGACAAGCCACAATCCTCCGTGCCCGTTATTAAAGAAAGCCATCATCCACTAATGTCAAACACACGGTGAATCCAGATGTGCGTGTGTGCGTGTGTGCGTGTGTGCGTGTGTGAGAGAGAGAAAGAGAGGGGAAGGAGAGACCAAAGCCAACCGCATAGGGGATTGTGGCTTGAGCCACCTGCTGAAATTTTCATCCTGAGAAGATTTCCAAATGCGGAGAGGCAACCAAACGTATCATACTGAAAATATAGATAGAGACATACATAAGCTGTGGACCGAAAATTTCATCAGGTCTATACAGTGATGCACTCGTCGTAGCAGGGACAAGGACTTTCTCCCCGTGAACTCCTCCTTGAGGTGGGTGCAAGCGCGGAATGGTTAAGGCCCTATCTACTGTCAGCCATTGTAGTAAAGACTCTTCAACCGTTGGGATTTCTAAGCTGAGAATGGTCAAGGCCGCTGCCTTTGAGATTCTACTTCCGCCAAGAACAAAATTTGGGAGAAGCATCGTGCAAAGCTGCGGGCTTGGTCCCCTCTCGTTCAAGAAACTTGGCTCAAACTTGGGAGAGTTCCCGGAACCTCATTGGATAAACACTGAAACTATCTAATCAAACTTGGCTATGGAACGTCTCTATCCTGTGGATTATCTTTCGGGCATGTGTTTTTCATACTCATGGGTCTTTGGGAGGTAATTTTGCCCGGATAGAGGAGCCCGAGCTGGGCTGATCCGGACCCTTGTTCCCTGGCCCGGTTTATGGACCAGGTGACGGCAGGGGGAGGGTGTGGACGGGGGTTGTTCACACGTGCATTGAACAGAATGACCGGTGGGTGAGATCAGTTGCTCGTTCGTCGATAGGTTCAGCCGCCCCGCCGGCGGCCAGATCGTGTGGCTCCTGGCAAGGGGGAGCAGCCCATCCCGACTCAGCTGCGCTCACGGCTCTCTCTCAGCCCTACGCCACGTGGACCCTCAAGGACCACGGAGATCACTGGGACAACAACAAAGCAGATGAAAGTGTTGCCTTCCCTCCCCCACGAGAAAAGGCCGCCGAACGGGCTCAGGCCCTACTGCCCTTCTTCCTTAAAGACTCATCATCGATAGATAGAGATAGAGAGAGAGAGAGAGAGAGAGAGAGAGAGAGAGGCGGCTATGGCAGAGTCCGGACCCTCTTTCTCTCTCTCTCACTCCCTCTTGGTCCCGTCGGGTAATTTTTTTCAAAAAAACGCGGTGACCGTTCGGAGGCCACGGCCGAAGAGGAGTAACAGGCTCTTCACGCACATCACGAGCCGTAGTTGGTAAGCTTACCGCGGCGGCAGGCAGCGGCATTTAGAGTAATGTGACAGTATCTGGAAATCGCCACAGGATCACGTCGCCTCCTCTCTCTCTCTCTCTGGTCATCGCTCTCTCGTTCGTCTGCTCTTCCTTTCTAGCGACGGCACAGCGCTCCGTCCCTGTTGCCGGGCCACTCTCCTCCTTCTCATCCTCATCTTCTTCGAAGGAATCGTCCCATATAGGAGGTCCTGGGGGAGGCAGGACCCACCCTCCTCTTCCTCTGGCGCCGGAATTCTGATCGTCCGAGAGGATGGACGGGATGGCGGTGATCGGCTCCATCGTGACAAGGAGGGTGGACGCGGCGGAGGCCCGAAAGTGGGTGGTGCTGGTGGCGACGATCTGGATCCAGGCCTTCACGGGGACCAACTTCGACTTCTCGGCCTACTCCTCCCAGCTCAAGTCAGTGCTGGGGATCTCGCAGGTGCAGCTCAACTACCTAGCCGTCGCCTCCGACCTAGGCAAGGCCCTGGGCTGGTCCTCCGGCCTGGCCCTCCTCTTCCTCCCGCTTCCGCTGGTTCTCTTCGCCGCCGCCGGGATGGGCCTCGCCGGCTACGGCCTCCAGTGGCTCGTCATCACCGGCCGCATCTCCCTCTCTTACATCTCCGTAAGTCTCTCCCCCCCCCCCAACTCCCCCTCTTCCTCGCGAGATCTCCGTAAGTCTATTTGCACAGCCGCCGCTTCCTCCTCCGCCGGCGACCGCCGGCGACGGTGATCGTCGCCGTCGGGTTGGGCGAATGCTCTCTCCCGACTTTTTATTTTATACGGACCTGGCCCACTACGACAGCTGACTGGCCGCTGCTGCCGCCGGAGAACCGTTGAAACTAGCGGATACCGAACAAACACGTGGCGTCCTCGCGTGAGGCGCCAATCCCTGTCAAAGATGGCGCAGCCTCTCCGACTGCGTGTGGCCGCCGGAGAGCGACAAGCGGCGGGGCTCACTGTTTTCATGTGATGATAAATATATTCTCATCCTCGGTTTTTATTAAAACTGTTTCCGTGTCTTCTCGAAAAAGATTTATTGATGTCGTTGAACATTGCGGCGGTAGGTCTTCTCCCTGTGCTTGCTGGCGGGGTGCAGCATCTGCTGGTTCAACACGGTGTGCTTCATCCTCTGTATCCGCAACTTCTCGGTCAACCGCTCTCTCGCGCTCTCCCTCACCATCAGCTTCAACGGCCTTTCCGCTGCGCTCTACACGCTTGTCGTCAACGCCGTCTCCTCCTCTGAATCTCTCTATTTGCTCCTCAACGCCGTCCTCCCCCTCGCCGCCTCTGCCGCCGCTCTGGCTCCCATCCTCTGCCAGCCTCCCAGCTCCTCCTCTTCCTCCTCCTCCTCCTCCGCCGCCGCCGTCACACAGTCCCCCCCCCCCGAGAGAACCCGCCAGGACTCCCACGTCTTCCTTCTGCTCAACGCCCTCGCCTTCCTCACCGGCCTCTACCTCCTCCTCCTCACCTCCTTCTCCTCCGGCACTGGCGCAGCCCGCTGCCTCCTCGCCGGCGCCCTCGCCCTCCTCGCACTCCCCCTCTTCACCCCCGGGGCCGTCTGCGCCCGCGACTGGGGACGTCGCACCATCTACTCCAGCTTCAGCCGCCTCGACGGGGGTGGTTCCGGCTTCAACCTCGTCGACATCGACGATCTCGAGCAGCTTCACAAACCCCTTCTCGGCGCCACCCCGGGGAACGGCCACGCCGGCCCGCCGCCGGCGAAGAGCGGCGATAGCGGAGCGTGCTGCAGCCTGGGGACGGAAAGCCTGGTGGCGCTGGGGGAGGAGCACGGCGCGTGGCGACTGGTCAGGCGCGTGGACTTCTGGCTCTACTACATCTCCTACTTCTGCGGCGCCACCGTGGGGCTTGTCTACAGCAACAACATCGGCCAGATCGCGCAGTCCCTGAGCATGGCCTCCGACACGATCAAGCTGGTGGGCGTCTACTCCGCCTGCTCTTTCTTCGGTCGCCTGCTATCTTCACTTCCGGACTTCCTCCGCGCCAAGGTCTACTTCGCGCGCACCGGCTGGTTGGCCCTCGCGGCGGCGCCGGCGCCAGCCACCTTCTTCCTTCTGGCCTGGGGGACGGGCGACGGCGTGTTACTGGCGGGGACGGCCGTTGTGGGGCTCAGCTCCGGGTTCTTCTTCGCGGCGGCGGTGTCTGTGACGTCGGAGCTGTTTGGCCCGGCCTCCATTGGAGTCAACCACAACATCCTCATCACCAACATACCACTCGGGTCACTGCTCTACGGACTTTTGGCGGCCCTCGTCTATGACGCCAACGGGCTGGTCACCGGCGCCGGCGAGGTGGCGGCGGCGGGCCTCGGAGGGGACGGCGCCATCGTCTGCATGGGGCGGCGGTGCTACGCCGCAACGTTCATCTGGTGGGGGTGCATCTCGGCGGTGGGCCTGGCCTCCAGCGTCGCGCTGTTCCTGCGGACCAAGCCGGCCTACGACCGTTTTGAGCGAAACCGGGCGGCTCTATTCCCCTGACGGCGTTTGAGCCAATGCAGAAATTTGGTGTACATAGCATTTTATAACGCCAACTGAGGACGAAATAAGTTAAACCAAAAATCAAGCAATATGCAAGAAATTCCCCATTTTACTTTTTTAGTTTCAATAAGGGCTTCCCGGTCGACCGGTGGTTATCCTTGGAGCCAATTAGGCTCCTCCTCTTCCTTGTTATACTTCTTAAGGTCGTTTGCTAGGCTTATTCATAGACCCAGTTGAGCGACCTCGGATAAGCACCCGTTGTTGGTCTGATAGAATTCTTTCTTTCTTAGGGTTTTAGTCTTTGCTCGTCGAGTTGACCCCTCACACCTTCAGCTGGCTAGGGTTTTAGATTTCAACTCGAAGAAAGGAGAGAGATGCTATGAGCAGGCTTTAATTGGTATTTTTGCTGTTGCCGAGGACACTGTGGAAGTCGGTACGAAACAAAGATGTGAGTTGGATCCTCAAGCAAGATAAGAAAAACCCTGAAAAATAGTGGACTCTACTCAAGGCATTTCATTCTAGAATGCTCTTAGATATGCACAAAGCAGCTCTAAATTCCTTCAAAGTAAGATGTGAAGAGAAATTCTTCTAACGTAAGATATTTTTCACATAAAAGGGAACAGTATCCAAGCCTTAAAATTCTATTAAACTGAATATTGGGCCCTATGGGCGGCCACCCAGATGAGTCTTCTTGACATTTTCCCTTCTACTCTCTGCTTGCGCCTTAGACGCCGTCAAGGCAATCCGTGCTTCATGGGAGTCGATGCTAAAATCGTTCAAGTTAGAAGATGAATCTCAACAAAAAAGAAGATGTAAGTAGTAAAGTGATCACGCACCGAGACGAACATGTGTAACCTTTTGTGATTGGATGATTAAATTGCCGTTGTCAGGCTCTTCGTGATGGCTAATGGGCTGGTCACTAAAACCATTGTTTGCATCCCATTCTCGTCACAATGGGCATGAACAGTGCTGATGGATATAATACCAACGAGGTACGGTGGCAGCTCCTTTGGCTGGAGTTGTACGTTTGACCGCTGACTCTGCCGTCGGGCCCCGCTGTTTTGCCCTAGGCCGACGCGGTTAGCTTGGTACTCCTGAGAACCCGCTCTATAAACTCCTCTGTATCCGGAATCCGTTGTTTATCGGCCGGCATAATCGGATATGCTGTTATCTCCGATCTTTCGGACGGGCGGGATTGAGATCTACAGAGGAGGATGATGATGAAGATGATATTTACGGTGGTTGCCAGGTAATCCCGCGATCACAACGGAAACAGACCAGAGAAAGCTGGCTTCCTCTCCGCATCGAACTCAACGGAGAAAGCTCGAAACGGACGTGGGGAGAGACTCAGATGCGCATTTGACGTCAGGGATAACCTCTAGGAGGTATCTCTCAAGATATATAGCTCCTCCCTCCTCTCTTTCTTCCTTCTTGTGAGCATCTTCTGCCTGTTTCTCTCCTCTCCCTTCCATCTTCCGCCTCTTCTGCCTGTCTCTCTCCTCTCCCTTCCATCCTCCGCCTCTTCTGCCTCTCTCTCTCCTTTCCCTTCCATCCTCCGCCTCTTCTACCTGTTTCTCTCCTCTCCCATCCATCCTCCGCCTCTTCTACCTGTTTCTCTCCTCTCCCATCCATCCTGCGCCTCTTCTACCTGTTCTCTCCTCTCCCATCCATCCTCCGCCTCTTCTACCTGTTTCTCTCCTCTCCCTTCCATCCTCCGCCTCTTCTCCTTCTGCGGTCGGAAGAAGCCCGAGAAGGTCGAAGATGGTGAGCACCGACGCCGCCAGAAACATCGTCGGGATCATTGGTACGTAAGAGCCGCACGGTTTCCCATGATGATCCCCTTTTATATGGAACAAGAGGTCCTTCGTCAAGGTTTTTCTTTTGCGCAGTCATTCTCTCTCATTTATGTTTTCTTTCTCTCTCTAGGGAATGTGATCTCCTTCGGACTCTTCCTCTCCCCAGTGTAAGTTCCTCTATCCAGCCCTAAAAGATTCCTCTGCAAGACCTAGCGAGGTTTGTGTTCTTACGTGAGATGCGGCAGGCCGACTTTCTACAAGATATGGAGGAGGAAAGCGGTGGAAGACTTCTCACCCATCCCCTACCTCGCCACCTTCCTCAACTGCATGATGTGGATCTTCTACGGGATCCCCGTCGTCCACCCGCACAGCCTCCTCGTCGTCACCATCAACGGCACCGGCCTCGCCCTCGAGACAATCTACCTCATCATCTTCCTCCTCTACTCCACCCCCTCCAGGAGGGTGACGACCGAAGACTAAATCCTTCCGCTAAATCTGCTGTGTTTAGTCCATCCACCTATCTCAGACGCTGTTCTGTCCTCCCGATGGCTTCTCAGTGTAGGGTTCTCCAGTACATCACTGCGGAGTTGGCGTTCATGGCGGCGGTGGTGGTCGGCGTCCTCATGGGCTCTCACACGCACGAGAAGAGGTCCCTCATTGTCGGCGTGATGTGCGTCATCTTCGGCACCTGCATGTACGCCTCTCCCCTGGCCGCCATGGTAAGCTAGACTTTTCGAACCCCATGTCTCTCTCTCTAACCATCTATCTATCTATCGATCGATCTCTATCTATCCATTTGAACTCCATGGATGGGAATGGGAATGGACCATTTGATGGGCAGAGGAACGTGGTGAAGACGAGGAGCGTAAAGTACATGCCCTTCTGGCTCTCCCTGGCTTCCTTTCTGAACGGCATCTGCTGGACGCTCTACGCGCTCATCCGCTTCGACATCTTCATCACGGTGAGTCCGCTCTCCCCGCCGCCGGCCCTCCCTGGCTGAGATCATCGCTTCATCTCGTTCGTTACCATTGCCTGCAGATCCCCAACGGCCTTGGAGCGCTCTTCGGGGCGGCGCAGCTGGTGCTGTACGTCTGCTACTGCGGGTCTACCCCAAGGGACGAGCCCAAGGCGGAGATCCAGCTGCCGACGGCGACGGGGGCCGCCCACAATGATGGCGGCGTATCTTCCATCTCCGTTCAGTGACCCTCGTGGTCTTCTTGTCCCTGCGGCCAGAAGGATGACTGCGGAGTTCTCAATTTTTCCTGGCTCTCTGTTTAATTTTCAGTCCTTTCTTCGTTGGACAGTAGATTTTCTGGTTGTCCTCTTACAAACCCTAGGTCAGCTCGTACTCTCTCTCGCCTGGTACCTTCAGATATTCCGCTGCAACTGGAGATTAACTATTTACTCAAGATAGTAGGGGAAAGATATCGCTTGCATCGACTCTCTGGATTCTCGAATCGGAATTACCCTTCGATCATGGCTTGACAAGGTATCTCGGTTCTGCACGGAGATTTGACAAATTCTTTCTAACTTCACTCTGCATATTATGAACTTTCGTTTGGTTCCTGGTTTGCAAAACGTACATATGGTAGTTCAATCGAGAGGAATAAACATAGAAGAGAACAGCTAATGAAGGCGAATGACCCTTGGTAAAAATGGTGTGCATTTAATTAAAAAATTATCATTTGGTAAATATGTTTACCACTAATTGGATAATTGAGCACGTTAACTCTTCAATTTTTCCTCTTTGGCGCTCGTAAGCTCACACCTTCTCTTAAAAGCCTCAATGTGGGTCTGCACACAACGGATATTAAGAATATTCACGATTTTATTCAACACTAAAAAACACCGATATTTTTGGATAGAAATAGCGTAAGAACTCTTATGAGGGGGAACCAACTCAAACATAGTTTTCATTTATTTTAAAAATAAAATTTTGTTTCTTGCAATGACTATATGTTGAATGATTGTGTACTTACATTATGTGTATCATGCGCTTTTGATGATCACAGGCTCATGTTTACATCTCATGTGATTTCTCAATTGATGAAACAAGAAATTGACATAAATTACAAATATCAAAGGTGTTGTTCACAGTGAGGGTACGTGAACTAATCTCCTATCTATCCTACTCAAAGATATGTGGCCTAGCTTCCTTGATATGCCCTTGATATGAGCCAATACATCATTGTAAAATAACTATTACTATTCAATAGATACTTTTCAGATATTATTTCATCAATATTTTGTAGTATTATTTCATTCAATGGCCTCTTTCAAAGAATTCTCACATTTACAATCAATCACAAATGTAGCTGATGCTAACTTTTTCTCTTAGGGGGAGACATGAGTGAACCCCTTAAATAAGATCAACATCATATTTTATGTTTTATGGAAAAATGCCGAAGGGATTAGCAAGTTCCATCCCTTGAGATAAAATAATAGACAAGCCATGAGGACAACTACTAGTTCTCAATATCGTTAGTTTAAAGATTTTGATGTTGAAAAATAATCATAAGAAGATAAGATTAAAATTTTCTCACAAAAATACTATTATTGACTTATTATGTGATGAAGTTGTAAATCGTTAGATCTAGTCTATTGACTATTGCATTATGTTTTCTAGATATAACAAAATGAAAAGAAATATAATATAAGATATATATATATAAATTAAAATTCAAAAAAAATAGAAAGAAGAAACTGAAAGGGAGTGTATGATGTATAGACCTATTGCATAGACTAAGATAAGGTTAAAAATTTTCTGAAGATAGAAAAACAGATCTGCTCTAAGAAGTTTAATATGTCACACATCTCAAAAGATCAAAGAAAAATCCATAGAATAAGTTAGCCAAAATATGGTCAAATTAAAAATGTGATTGCACAAATTAATTGATGAGTTTACCTAGATGTGAACCTAAATAATATTTGATAGATGGAATTTCAAAGATTTTAATTCTAATGTTCAAGTTTTTGAGATCTATGGTGATCCCATTATAAGGTTTCAAATAGATTATCAATGATAGATTGGACTGACGTGACTTAGTCATTATATAGTAAATCACACAAATTTAAAATTTATCAAAATTAGAAAATACGTTTTTTTTATATTTAGAAGTATTTATAAAAATATATATTGATTATAATTCAATAAAACTTTAAAAAAAAGTATTAATTTTTCAAATTGACCACAATGATGTAATATAATATCCGGTAATTATTCAGAATTTAAATCAAAGAATAATATTTTCTATGAGTTTTATAGTAGTAAATAAAAAGAAAATATATTTAAAATTCACAAAAAGAGAAATAAGGGCACAGATGTCAGGATGACATCAGCACTTGGCAAACGTAAATTAGGAAAAAATAGAGTTCCACTTGGTGATTCTTACGTAAATGATTACAGACAATTTAATTGATCAAATTAAGATCTATAAAAGATGAAAGAATCGTAATTGAATGAAGTATACCTTAGTAAATTTAAATCACACAAATTATCACTAAATGAACTAGAAAGTAAGTTGAAAGTAGGAAAATAGAATTTCAATATCACATCGGCGATATGTTGGCCATGCATTAGAATCCTAAGCGTTCGAGAAAATCGTCATATAGTGTCTATGGCCTCAAAGATTCTCCTTAGACAAGGATGACGTGGGCAATCTCTAGATCTCCTTGTGAAGTCTAGAGATCAATGAAATAGGTTGTCGAACTATCTCTCGTGGCTATCACTCGATAGAGTGGGAAAATGACGACTTTGCGGCTCTCTAGTGACTGTCACTCGACAGACAAGAGTTGGATGGAGGTGGGGCACGTGTCAGGAAGCTTCATCCTCAGGTCTACGCAATAAGAGGAGGCTCTTCATCACATCTGGTACGCTCCCAAGAAGTGGCAACTTGTCTCCCAACGGATTGCCTCTTCTCGACGACGGCTTATTTGTCGATCAATCGAATATACTTTACTTGATAGATTCACGATCTTTTTATTGTAAATCATTTAATAATTTTAATAATAATACTTCGTGAATCGCATTGATGAGATTTTCACCAATGATCCAGTGATTCTAGTTGCTTAATTCTTCACTGATGATCGTAGGAAAGTCGCGATAATCAGATAAAAAATATGAGTTTTGACTTTGGGAAAATTCAAACCCATACCGATTGCCCACCCCTTTCTAGAGAAGGTGTGATGCAGATTTAGTCCCACATCAGTTGTGTGCCAAAGTTTCTAACGAATATATAGTAATATTATATTTTCAATTAAGTTTCCTTTTCACATGTGTATGACCACTCTTTACCCCAAGTCAGCTGGCCATTAGTGATGTGGAAGAAGAATGACACACACGTGTCCCATCAGTCCAAGCTGCTCGAGCCCCTACTTATGCCTACTCTTTGATTGTGCTTTCGACCCACTTGTAGGCCCAGCTAGTTGGTGGGTTCCCCCATTTTGTTTTATTTTTATTTTTATTTCTCTTTTCATTTATCTCAAAAGTAAGATTATAAAAATCATACAAATTCATATAAAATCACATAATTATCTAAAAATTCACAGTAATTAATTGAAAATCACTTTTTACACTTTGACACAAATATAAGTCTATTTATCATGAGTTAAGGTTAAAATTATATTATTTACTAATTATTAACTCATGATAATGAAGACTTATCATGGACTCACTAACCAATTTTACAATCTCTCATCAAGGCTCAATTGTAAGAACATTTTTGTCAAAAGGGCTTTCAAATAACTCATCAATTAGATTAATCAAGTCGATGTCAACCAAGTATGTCAACTTAAGCTAGTTATTGGTTATTCAAGCTAGTCTATGTTGACCAATCTATCATTGATAATAAATAAATTCAAAAAATTATATTCTTGAAATCTTCATATGTTAAGTTTAATACATTATCATATAGTTGGTATATAAGTACAAAAATCAGGCATCAACACATGTGACGAGAATCTAAAAAATCAAGAAATATTAAGTCGCTTGTAAGATTCAAATTTAGAACTCAAGTGATGAAAAGATAGAAGCTTCAATGAGAAAAATATATAAACATTAATGAATTTTAAGTTATGTGCAGGATTTGAAGTTGGAACTATAGTAACATGAAAGTCGGTAGTCTCATCAAGTAAAACACTTGAAAATTATGGAAAAACAAAGACACCAACAAGATTCAAACTTGAAGCCTACACAATGACAAGTTGAAAAGTTGAGTGAAGAAATCTGTGAAAAATCAGATCATCAATATCTCCAGCAAGACTCTAACTCAATAGCTATATAATGAAAAATCTAAAGTGTCTGCGAAAAGTAATCAAAAAGTCGTGAAAATAAGAGAAGTTTTTGCCACAATTTGAATGGTGACATATCGACAAAACACAGATAAAATGACAAATTAGATAAACTTATTTGGACAACCCTAAAAGTAAAGATAATCATTGATAACTTACAAATATTTAGACCAAGTTTTAAACATAAAAAATTTGAGAATAGTAAACTTCGTAATAAGGAACAAGCAAAGGTCATTATTACATATTTTTAATGATGACACATCAAAAAAATACTTTGAGATAATGATAAGCTTAATGACCTTATTTGAACTCAATTCTAAAAATAAAAATGTTAGTTGATATGTCAAAAATCTCCAAATAAAGTCTCAAGTACAATAGATATAAGGATAACAAATTTGAAAGTACAGAATAATCACAGATCATTGCCATGAATTTTGGATGGTGACATGCTGGAAGAATACGTGGAGATAATGTCAAACTTAGAAACTTTATTTGAGCTCAAATTTTAAATAAAAAATATATGTTGATAAGTTACAAATCTCCTAAAAAAATCTCAAGTACAATAGATGTGAGAATTGTAAGTTTTAATGAAAAAAATGAGCAAAGGTCACTAACACATCAATTCCAAAGCAATGTGAAGATTTTGAATTTACTTGTCTATTTTCAAATAATAAAACGATAAGAGAATGTTGGAGAATAAGAGGAAAGAGATTACAAAGAAGAAAAACTAATTAAAAGGACATCTATATCACATATATTCACATTTAAAGAAACATTTTTCTTCATCTATCAAAGTTTAGTTACTGTGCTATTCAACAAAAAATAGAAAGCTACATTAATACTTGATTTGACAGTACTTATACAAGTCAACAATTTACTTCAAAATTTGACTCTTTCTTTAGGCCCTGATGTAC